CGCAGTGCGAACCTGAGAGTTTTGAGGAGGTTCAACAGTTGCCTGAAGCAGAAGCCAGGAAGTGGCAAGAGGCAATGAGAAAGGAGTTGAACTCAATGAGGTCCTTAGGTGTGTTCTCCACCACGAAGCTGCCAGAGGGCAAGCAGGCTGTGAGCTGTCCTTGGGTTTACAGGATTAAGCCCACAGCATCTGGAGAACCACAGTACAAGGCGAGGCTTGTAGCCAGAGGGTTCACGCAGAGTAGGGGGCTGCATTACACCGAAGTGTATGCTCCTACTTCCCGGAGTAGACAGGTGCAAGGTTTTGCCAAAGAGCTTGGTAAGAAGTTTAAGCTCAAAAACCTTGGTCTCGTTCAGGTTTATCTAGGCGTTAGGATAGACAGGTCTGAGAACGGGAGTTTCTTGCTCAGTCAGAAAGGCAAGATTGAGCAGTTGCTTGAGAAGTTCCGGATGTCTGACTGTGCAGGGGTCAGAACGCCCATGGAGACCAACTTCGTGAAGGACAGTCAGCTTGGGGAGCGTTCTGAGTTCCAAAACCCTGAGGTGTTTCAGTCAGCGCTAGGGAGTCTGTTGTATCTCTCTCAGTGGAGCAGACCAGACATAGCGTTTGCTGTGAATCTGCTCAGCAGGGAGGTTACAAAGCCCAGTGTGAATGCCTGGCAAGGCATCAAGAGAGTGTTGAGGTATTTGCAGGATACCAAAGAGTTTTGCCTCATGTTGTCAGCTGAAGGTGACGCACGGCTTACGTGCTGGAGTGACAGCGATTGGGCATCTCTTGGGGACAGGAAGTCTGTGTCTGGGCTGGTGGCAAAGTTCGGGGAATCCCTGGTTGGGTGGAAGTCCCGGAAGCAAAGTCTTATTGCACTTTCTTCCACTGAGGCTGAGTTCAGTGCGTTGTCGGATTTGTGCAGGGAGGTGGACTTCTACCGGTGCTTGATCCAAGAGATCTGTGGGGATTGTTACTTGCCCATAACTGTTTGGGGAGACAATCAACCTTGTCTTAAGTTGGCAGAATCTGGACAGTTCAAGTCCAGAACCAAGCATTTGGACATACGTTTCCAGAATGTATGTCAGAGTGTCCAGGCAGGTTGGATACGGCTCAAGTATTGTTCGAGCCGGGAGAACCTAGCTGATGGGTTTACCAAACCCTTGACCTTCCAGCGACATGGGGAGTTCTGTGAAGGGTTGTGTTTGGGGTGAGTTATACTCACAGTTTTCCCTCAGGATGCGAGACGAGAGGGGGTGTGAGGAGAATCAGAACTTACAGGGTTAAACAGTTCTGTGTGACGTCTCACATTCTGAGGCGTGGTTTGGTTCACATACGGAAATCTTTCTTTGTGTGTGAGTTTCCTTTCGTTTTTGGCTGAGAGACGAAAGAATGTCCGCTCTCTCACCGGGCTGATTTATGATGTTTTTCTTCTCATTAAAGGCTGTTAGAGATTAGCAAGAAGCCTGTGTTCAGTCTAATTTATTATCCACACACAAGGCAACACTTTCTACCACTGCAGAACTCTGCTACGAACTCTGCTAAGAGGTTCAAGTTTTTCCTATCAGCACAAGCGTCCATCAGCACAGGGGAAGTGTGCCGAGTGCCATCTTATCTCAACATCTTATCTCAACTGTTACAAGTTCATTTAGATATCGGTTCTTCTCCCTCCTCGTCCAAAGGGGGGCCCCCAGGTAGAGCACTGGGGTCGGGGTCAGCTTGTGTCCCCCCCCCCCGCATTCTGGAGAAGGTTATTTTGTGCTGGGAGCTGTAGGTTCTGGGACAAATAGGGGGCGGTATTCCCTGGGCTGTCCACGCCTCCTGCCCCGGCTTCGGCTCCGGCTCCGGCTCCTAGCCTGGGTGGCGGGGGTCCCATTGGTTCAGGGTAAGAAAAGGGGATGAGGGATCTTTCTAGTTGTTCCTCTTGTATCCTGATTTCATCATAAGGAGGGGGTCTGACGGTCCCCAGTACAGCCATCTGCTGAACAATCTGTGCTTATTTGCATTTAAAGAGTTTGCAGGCTTCCACAAAGGCATTCAGGTAGTAGAGCTGTCGAGGCTTTTCGTCAGCTAAGTAGGATCTAAGTGCTTGCATCTTTGTAACATTAAAGGAGCCTTGAAGTGGCCATTGAGACTCTGCCTCTAGGTGATGGGTAAAAGCCACCCATGAAAAGTTACAAAGGTCTCTCAATTTGGACTTGGAAAGACCCTTTCGCCCCTTTAAATCTTTCCAGTTGGAGATGACAAACTGGAGAGGTGTATCAGAATCCTATCTGGTGCAAAAAGGCTTCATGGAAGCTTTGTTTTGCCAGGAGGAGTCCAGCTATGGTGTTTCCCTTTTATACCGGGGGGGGGGGGTGTTGCTCAAGAGCAGGCTACATGAAGAAATGAGCAAACAGAAATACAGGAGAGACGGGGGGGGGGGGAGAGAGAAAAGAATATCCTATCAGTATTATTCAACCTAACACTCGGGTGCCTCTCTGGTCCTCTCTGGCATCAGTCTGATGGATTGGACTGGACAAGCAGGTAGAAATCTAAACCTGAGGAATCCTGCCTACAACTAAAACCACAGGCAGCTGACCTGGAAACCACGGGTCTCTTAACCCAGAAAAAAAACCACGGATCCGGAATTCACTTAGTGCTGTTCACAAAACTAATCCTAGTGTGGGGCCCCGTTCTTCCGTGAACCTCCCATTTTATCATCCACGACAGCCTCCTGCCTGACCTCAAATCTAGGTTCGGGATTCCCTACTGGACGGTTGCGCAGTGCAATGCCAGATTGAGACCTGAGAAAACATAAGTTTGGAAGGGAACAAACGACCTTGCATTCTCACGTACACGAGTCATCCCCAACAAGGATCTTTGTGCCAGAGATGCGGCTTCGTTTGATAGGAGATAGAAAGAAGTGTATAGGTAAAGCCCCTTCCACATTTTCTGGCTGTACTCCGAGGGATCGAGTCGAAGGTATTGTTCAGAAAATTAGTGAAAGTGTCCCACGACCCTCTCTGGCCACACTCCGAGGGATCGGGTCGGGGAGAGAAGGAAGCTTTCCTGCAACCCTTTCTGGCCACGCTCCGAAGGATTGGGTCAAGGAGAGAGAAAGAAGGAAAGGTTCAGCTGTCATGGAGACGTTATCCTTCCCCTCCCCTCCCAGTGCACTAATTTCAAACCATACTCATGTCCTAGGAATGTCCCTCACGGATCCCGGGATCCTTAGTTAGCCGGCTTGACCTTGCCTTTGCTCCTCCTGGCTGAGCCTCTAGTGATGGTTGATTACCGCTCACAAAAGGAAGGCGGGGAGAGGAAAAAGGATCCCTGGGCTAAGGCTGCCCAGTGGCGCCCAATCCCCTCTATCTCCCCCCTCACCTTCACAGGAGAACCAAGAGTCCCTTTGTGGTCGCCAAACTGTTAACGGAGAAATTTGAGGGCTCCCTTGGACAAAAAGCAAGGACACCAACCAGGACAATTGGAGCAAAACAGCAGCCAGTAGGCTTGGTCTTTATTAAGACTGTCGTGACAGGACTCCAACTCACTGCAAGGCGAAGCAAGATGGAAGCCCCGAACAAAAGAAGACCCCAACTTTTATTAGCTACTAATCCCCCATGCTACACCCCTAAGACTACATCACAACTACATCATAACTACATCATTGACACATCACAAAAGGAGGGGTTTGTTGGTTTCCGTTGGTGCCACTGTGCCGTGCTTGGAGACACACCAATGACAACAGGTTATCAGGTAGATGATACTGAAGAAGCATTTTCTGACACTACACTGTACAGAAGTGTGCTAGGCAAACTAAACTTCATTGCCAGATGTTCAAGATCGGACATTGCAGTTAGCACTAATTTGCTAAGCAGACATGTCAACAATCCTACTGTTAAGGGTTGGAAAGCTCTGAAACGCATAGCACGCTATTTGAAAGGCATTATGCACTACAGACTGAGAATTAACAATCAGAAGTCTGGTGGTCTTGAGATATTTGTTGATGCGAGTTTTGGAAGTGACACTACAGACAGGAAAAGCACGTCTGGAGTTTGCTATATGTACAACCAGGGTCTATTTGATTGGTCGTGCAAGAAGCAAACAACAGTTAGCTTGAATTCTTGTGAAGCTGAACTGAATGCACTGTCTTATTCACTTGTGGATTGTGAATGGTTGTTACAATTGTGTAAAGATATAAGAATTCCTGTAAAGTGTCCAATCCAGGTTTATCAGGACAACAAAGCATGTTTGGCTTTGCTGATTTCTGAAGGTTGTAAGCAAAGCACTTGCAATTGTAGCTGCAACATGCTAGAGAATGTGTTCAGAAAGGACTCGTAACGGTGTCCTATATGCCAGGTAATGAAATTCCTGCTGATTTATTGTCCAAGGTTGTTCCAAGGGATCAACACTGTACCTAGGTACAGAAACTGGGTTTGTACTGAGATTGTACTGACACACTGCCCAGTGGTGTTCGCAGAAAGGGGGAGGATGTTGGTTTCTGTTTGTGCCACTGTGCAGTGCTTGGAGTCACAAGACTCTGATTACATTCCACAGACATTCCATACTGTTGGAAGTCTCACGGAAGACGGGAGACGGATGTGATGTTTACTGGTTTCCTGTTCCTTTGTGTTCTCCGGTTCCTCTCTGCTTTCACAGAGACAGGATGTATTTTCTTTCTGCGTAGTTAGAAATAAAATTCTTAGCAATGTAGCTCATATTTCTCGTCCTTTTGCTGTGTTTGATACTCTGCTGAATGGGGAACGTGCCTGGAGCCTTATCAAAGGCTGAGGTTGTTAATCACGTCGGAGGACTCGACCGGAGGATTACATTCCAGAGGACAAAGAGGAGTTCACGGTTTCCTGCTCCCAGAGGGAAGGGTTGGTCACTGTCCTTTGTTCTAGTCCGTATTGAATCCACTTCCATATGCAAGTTCTTTGTAAGTGAAATGGTCCACTGTCTGGCACCATTAGTGTTGGCATGCCAACTTGGGTGGGTTTGCTGCGGACGTGTTGGTACACTTGGGGGATTATGGCTGCTGTCAAGGCTGCCTCAAGTCTCAGCTCACAAAAGACCAACGCCTATGTCTTCTTATATACAAAAGTGTTTATTGCAGTTCATTGTTTGCTTGACATCCTAGGCGCGCAGCCTTACGTCTGCTACGCTTAGACCGCTGAAGTCCCCTCTGAATCCGTCCCTCCCCTGCACCAATTTAAGAGGCTTGCGCTGCTCCACCTCTTTCTCTCCTTCCTTTTCCGCAGGGTCCTTCTGCCCGCTGGGGTTTCGCCCCTCCTGGATTCCTCTGACGCGGAATCAGACTGCTCTTCCCCCTCCTGCGGGCTTTGGGACCTGGCCCCTCCTCCGGGCTCCCTGTACTTCCGCGCGCCTCTACATTTGAACTTGGCGCGCGCGCCAAACCTCTAACTTTCCTTTTGACAGTTACACTACTCCCTTCACTGCTCCCTTCCCCTTCCGGGAGGGCGGCTTGCTCTGACCTCCCTCCTTTCTCTGCTGCCGGAGCTGCTTCCCTGACACACTGGAAACTCCACCCCTTCGCTGCACTCTGGTGGGGAGGCTGGTCCTGACGCCCAGCTGCCACTTTGGGATCCTCCGCTGGCCCCCTGCTCCTGACACGTCCCCCTGGGGCTCCTGGCCTTGACCACCGGCGCCCCCTTCTGGGAATCCTCTGATTCGCTGGAAAGACTCATGGAATCTCTTGAGTCATTGTCATCCTCTTCCTCGCTGGCTTGGAATTCATCCCCATCGCTCTCCATCTCCTGCCTACCCTGTGCCTCTCTCCCTGAACCCCTGACATCCATCCCCCCCTCGAAGCCCCCCCTTCCCCCCTCCCGCTGCTCGGGCGCAGGTTCCGGGAGCTTCGTTGTAGCGGGGGTAGATGCTGGATACAGTTCGTCGACGTCGATCTCCTCTGCTTCCAGTTCAGTGTAGGAGTGCTCGAAACCGGGGTCCTCCCCAACACATCCAAACCCTTCCCTCCCCCTGTTACTTCAGGCGAAGCTGCTTGCCAAGGCCCCCTTCGCCACCCCACTTCTGGTTGATCGTCCCACCAATAAGAGCGGTCCGTGTCCACCCCCGAGCACGATCCCCTTGGAGGGCTCGATTCCGGCGTGGTCTCCTCTGCGGAGGAGAACCCCCGAAGGTGCTGCCTGAAAGTGTGGGGGTAAAAAGCCAGTCGTCAAAATACTCCGCTGGCATGGGCCTGTGTGGGAAGAGTGCATGGAACTCGTCCTTAAGAAAAGGTTCCTCCAGAGCATAATCTGGCACCCAACTGTTGGCGCTGGCCGGGGTACCTTCCCTGGCGAGGAGGTATTCCACTCCCTCCTCCCCCCATCTCGAGTCCAGAATTTCCGTGACCTCGTTGAGTGTCGGGGTCCGCGGTGACTTCCCCCCCCCTGGTGACTTTCTACGTGGGTCTGGTGCCGTCCCTGGCTCCTGAAATCTGTGTGGGGCCTTGTAGGGTGTAAGCACCGACCTATGAAAGACCGGGTGCATTCGGGAATCCTCTGGGAGGGTCAACCGAAAAGCTACGGGATTGATCCTGCCCTCAACTTGGTATGGCCCTAGCTGTTTGTGTCCTAGCTTCTTCTTAGCTAACGACTTGGCCGGCACCGCCTGGGCTGCTAACCATACCCAGTCCCCCACCTGGATGTCTTCTCCTGCCCTCCTGTGCCTGTCTGCCTGCACTTTGTAGGCGTGTTTAGCTAGTTCCAAGTGCCGTCGTAGCTCCTCGTGGACCTCCTGCAATTCTGCTGCTAAATGCTCCGCTCCCTGCGACTCCCCCCTGCGTCGTTGTCTCCAACGCCGGGAAGGTTCTGGGATGTCGCCCATTGTTGGCGAAGAACGGTGTCACCCCGTTGACGCGTGCTTCGTGTTGTTGTAGGCAAACTCGGCCATCGGTAAGTAGTCCACCCAAGTTGCAGGCTTTTGATTGGCGTAACATCGCAGGTACTGCTGCATGATGGCGTTGACCCTCTCCGCTTGGCCGTTGGTTTGCGGGTGTCTCGCCGACGCTAAGTTGATCTTGACATTCAGGATGCCCAGGAGCTTCTGCCAGAAACTGGAAATGAATTGGCGACCCCGGTCGGACAGGATGGACCGCGGTAAGCCGTGCACCCGGAACACGTGGTCTATGAACAGCTTGGCGGTCTGTTCCGCTGTTGCCACCTTCGCGCAAGGAATGAAGTGCGCCATCTTGGTGAACAGATCTACAACCACAAGCACCGCCGTCTTGCCCCGCGAACTGGGCAGATCAGTAACAAAGTCCAGCGCCACCCTTTCCCACGGCTGCAGTGGCGTCTCCAGCGGTTCCAGCAATCCCGCTGGCTTCTTGTGCACTGGCTTGGACCTCTGACAAGTGTCACACCTGGCGACGTAATCCGCGACCTCTCCCCGCATCTGGGGCCACCAAAAGTCTCTGGCTACTAAGTCCGCCGTCTTTTCTTTGCCGAAGTGACCCGCGCTGGGGGCGTCGTGTAACTGCTGTAAAACCTTCGCGCGGAGATCGTCTCCCGGGACGTAGAGAGCACCTTTGCGGGTCAGCAGGCCGTCGCGTATCTGGAATTCGCCGTCCTTTGCTGTCCCTCTTCGCACCTCCTCCATCTTGGATTGTGCGAAAGGATCCGTCTGTAGCGCGCGTCGTACCGCGTCCAGGTCCACGGCGGCGGAAGCGCACGCCCACGCTTGCGGTGCGAAAATGTGCCTGGCTGCCACTGGTGCCGCTTCCTCGAGATACTGCGGTTTCCTGGAGAGCGCATCCGCTATGACGTTGTTGTCTCCCGGGATATACTCTATCCGGAAATCGAAATCCGCAAAGAACTCCGCCCATCTCATGTGCCTCTGGCTCTGGAGCTTCGCCGTGCGCCAATACTCCAGGTTCTTGTGGTCCGTGCGGACCTGCACGGTGTGCTTGGCTCCGATGAGGAAGTGCCGCCACGCCTTGAAAGCCGCGTGGATGGCCAACAACTCCCTGTCCCAGATGGTGTAGTTCTGTTCCGACTTGCTGAGCTTCCGGGAATAGAAAGCGCAGGGCCTCCAGTTCCCTTGCGGGTCTTCCTGCAAGAGGACGGCCCCCACTGCTCTGTCAGATGCGTCAGTCTCAACCCGCATGGGCCTGCCGGGATTCACGTGTAGCAGCTGGTCTTCGGACGCGAAGAGACTCTTAAGTCTCCTGAAGGACTGCTCCGCCTGGTCCGTCCAGGTGAACTTTTTCTTCTTGGAACTGAGGGTGTCCGTGATAGCTGCCGTCTCTTTCGCGAAACCCCTGATGAACTTGCGGTAAAAGTTGGCGAAGCCGACGAGACCTCTGGACCTCCTTCCGATTGCGCGGGCTATTCCAGTCCAACACCGCGCGGACCTTGGCGCTGTCCATGGCTAGTCCCTTGTCGGACAGCCGGTAGCCCAGGAAATCCACCTCCGTCACGTCGAATTGGCACTTCTCCAGCTTGGCGTAGAGTCTGTGCTCCCGTAGCCTCTGCAGGACCTCCTTTACGTCTCTTTCGTGAGTCTCCTGCGATTCTGAGAAGATCAGAATATCGTCGAGAAAGCATACGCACTTCTTGTAGAGGAGTCCTGCTAGCACGTGGTGCATGAATGCTTGAAAACAGTGGGAGCCATTTTGGAGACCAAACGGCATAACTCTGTATTCATAGGTGCCCAGCGGCGTGAACATGGCCGTCTTCCACTCGTCACCTTCCCTCATGCGTATTAGATTGTATGCTCCGCGTAGATCCAACTTGGTGAAGATCCTCCCCTTCCTCACCGTCGCGAGCAGGTCGTCAATCTTGGGCATGGGGAAAGCCTTGGGTTTTGTCATTGAGTTTATGGCCCTATAGTCCACAATGAGCCGTTTTTGGGGCGTGTCCTTCTTCTTCACGAAAAACACAGGACTGCCCCCCCACTGCCTTGGATTCTCGGATGAATCCCCGCTTCAAATTGTGATCTATGAACTCCCTGAGTTCCTGCATCTCATCTTCAGACATGGAATACAGCTTCGCAGTCGGCAGCGTCGCCCCTGGTAAGAGGTCAATTGCACAGTCGTAGGGCCGGTGGGGTGGTAATTGGTCAGCTTCCTTCTCGCAGAAAACCTCCAAAAACCCCTTGTACTTGTGGGGCACCGCCTGCACCATGCCTAGATGCAACTGTTGCCCTTCCTCCTGGCCCTCCTCCTCCTGGCCGATCTGGATGCAATGTTGTGCGCAGTAGGACGAGCCAAAGGTGAGCTGCCGCTGGTACCACGCCAATGATGGGCTGTGTCTGTCCAGCCAACTCATGCCTAACACTATGGGCGTGTCTGACAGTTGGGTGACATTGAAACTGATGACCTCGCGATGATTCCCAATTTTCAGCAGCATGGGTGGCGTCTGTTGTACCACTTGCCCACCCAGCAACTTCCTGCCATCTACGGTGACCACATTCAGAGGCAGCGTGGCTGGTAGTAGCGCTATGCGATGCTGCTTGATGAACTGCACCCCCACGAAGTCTGCGTTGCTCCCTGAGTCAATCGTAATGGGGACTTCCAGGGTGAGTCCATTAGGCAGCTGGAGAGTAGCAGTGAGCTGCACCACTGGCTTGGGTGGTAAGGGGTCTGTAGGCTGCAAAAGCGCTGGGGACTGCTTCACTGACTTGCCTGGCGGAGCCCCAGCATCTCTGCTTCCAGCCAGGCATTCTCGTTTCCCTGAAACTGTTCCCCTTGGAACGCTTCCCCTGTTACTGTTGCTAAGGCTGCAGTGTGCTTCTGGAGCCTCTGGGGACACTCTTTAGCCATGTGCCGTGCACTGTCACAGATGTAACACTTCCTGGTCCCTCTAGGAGGCTTCGCTTTGACTGCTCCGGACGCTGAGGCTCCGGCAGCTGTCTGAGCCTTTGCACCACCCAGTTCCATTGGTTCTTCCCCCCCTTTCAGCACAGGCGAAAGGTTTGTACGTTCCAGGTCCCTGGGAGGAAAAGGAGGTGCTCTAGCTGGTGGGCGGACGTGACGCCCCTCCTCACTGTGCCAAGGGCGTTCTTCGTGGCGCACCCCTATCGTGAGTGCCCTCTGCACGACGTCTGCTAGGGTTTGAGGTCTGTCTCCCCTAGCCAGCTCATCTTTCACTGAGCCATGAAGCCCCTCCCAGAACAAGTCCCTCACTGCCAGGGAGTCCTTTTCCCAGCCCAGCACATTCAGCAATGCAAAAAAGCGAGAATGGTACTGACGCACTGTAGCCTTGCCCTGCCGCAATCCATGCATCTCCTGGCGTGCCACATCAACGTCAACGGTAGATTGGAAGCAAGCGTCCATGGCTTTGATAAATTCGTCAGAGTCCCTGCGTGCAAGACCATCTTCGCGCCACAAATTGCGTAACCAGGTTCTTGCTTCCCCATGCAAATGGGACACAATAAAACCTACTTTTTCCTCCTCATCTTTGAAGTCGTTTCGAAGCAAATGCAGCGCGTATACGACGTCTGCTCTGAAATTGGGATAATGCTTCAGGTTCCCATCGAAGTGGGCCACTAAATTGCACCCCCTCCGTCCGAGTCCGATTCCCTCTGATCTGGACCCCGGGAACCCCTCTTTGCACGCCCGATCCCACCTGGCTTGCAGATCCTGGCATCGCGCTTCTGCGTCGGCAACCGTCTTCTGAGAGACCACTACCGCAGTGGAGAGCTCGGTGACTGCGTTTTGCAGGGACGCTATCTGCTCCTCAGTAGTCATCTCTGCCAAACTTCGTGAGCTTTGCAAAAAAAAAAATTTTGCGGTTTTTTGAGAGGGGACTTACTGTCAAGGCTGCCTCAAGTCTCAGCTCACAAAAGACCAACGCCTATGTCTTCTTATATACAAAAGTGTTTATTGCAGTTCATTGTTTGCTTGACATCCTAGGCGCGCAGCCTTACGTCTGCTACGCTTAGACCGCTGAAGTCCCCTCTGAATCCGTCCCTCCCCTGCACCAATTTAAGAGGCTTGCGCTGCTCCACCTCTTTCTCTCCTTCCTTTTCCGCAGGGTCCTTCTGCCCGCTGGGGTTTCGCCCCTCCTGGATTCCTCTGACGCGGAATCAGACTGCTCTTCCCCCCTCCTGCGGGCTTTGGGACCTGGCCCCTCCTCCGGGCTCCCTGTACTTCCGCGCGCCTCTACATTTGAACTTGGCGCGCGGGCCAAACCTCTAACTTTCCTTTTGACAGTTACACTACTCCCTTCACTGCTCCCCTCCCCTTCCGGGAGGGCGGCTTGCTCTGACCTCCCTCCTTTCTCTGCTGCCGGAGCTGCTTCCCCTGACACACTGGAAACTCCACCCCCTTCGCTGCACTCTGGTGGGGAGGCTGGTCCTGACGCCCAGCTGCCACTTTGGGATCCTCCGCTGGCCCCCTGCTCCTGACACGTCCCCCCTGGGGCTCCCCTGGCCTTGACCACCGGCGCCCCCTTCTGGGAATCCTCTGATTCGCTGGAAAGACTCATGGAATCTCTTGAGTCATTGTCATCCTCTTCCTCGCTGGCTTGGAATTCATCCCCATCGCTCTCCATCTCCTGCCTACCCTGTGCCTCTCTCCCTGAACCCCTGACAGCTGCCCTATGTCAAGCCTCCCCCCTTCGATGGTACTTTTTCTAAGGTCCAGACCAAAAGTGGAATGGTACAGATCCAATGTACGGCTGATTTTCTATGAATTTATAACAGAAACACTTCAGGAGTAAAAAAACACTTTCACTGAAAGGAAGCACTTGGATACATTTTGATTGGATTAGTTACAGTCAATTGAACCTGGATACATTGTATTAGCAGCTGTCATAAGCATTGAGAGGTAGATATAGGCCCTGCAGTACCTGCGTGGCCACCACAAGGGGCGCTGTTCGGTAACGCTTATTGGCTGGAGCGCAGCAGTTTATTTGCATGGGGAAACTGGTCAACCTGTAATAAAGATAGCGAACTGGGTTTCATGGAGACAGGCTTACGATTCAAACGCTTCCTTATTTACGGAAGGCTTTTCAAGGAAGTTTTATTAAAGGAAGTGTCACATATGTCGTGTGTGAATGTGTGTGTGTCATGCTTGTGCAAACTGAATGGGGGGGGTGTTTCCTGCAAAAAACTAGATGAAGATGAAGGCTTGGGGGTCTACTAATCACAATCTGTCTGGTGTTTCAATTTTATTTCCCCAAATTCCCTATTCCTGGGTGCTTTGTTGGGTTTAAATTGTTTTAGATGCTGTGCTGTGTGCTGATTTTACCTAATATTTTGTTAGTTTGTTTTTGCTGGGCTTTTGCGGTTATATTTTGTTCTATCTTGGCTTTCATTTCTGTTGTGATTTTGCACTTTGCACTTTATTGTTTATGAAAAGGGAATATGGTTGTGTTGTAAAAATACAAACCAGTGGGCTTTGGAGGGTCCCCACCCACTACTGGAGCTTCAAGACCCCTCAGGAAAGATCACTAGGTGATCAGAGAATAGTCAGAGGCAATGCAACCCAGTGTGTCAGAGCAGAGCAGCTTTAAGCACGGGTGAAATGAGGCTTTATTTCGAGGACTTCCGGGTTGGCACCATCGGCAATGGCGGAATTCCTCTGACCGGGAGGAATTTGCCCCGTGGGAAATTGGGTCTGGCCGCCACAGCGAAGGCGGAGACCCGTTAAAATCACAGGTGGGAGAAGCCTGTGAACGTGGGATTCGGCGGGCACCTTCTGCGCCTCCCCTACTCGCGGGGAAACCCGATTTCAGGGCTCCGGAGCGACGTGGGGTGAGTGGCGTGGTGCTTCGAATCATCTGCTTCTTCCACGGAGCGAAGCCGCACAGCCGTTGCCGGAGAGCGCTGACTTTTTCCTGTGGACAATTTGACTTTAAAGTAATTACCCGTGAGTAGATCTGAAACAGAAGAGTTGGATTTCTAAATGTTTAATTTGGTATCGTAACGGGGAGGTTCAAAACAGGAAGTCCGCCTTCCCCTTTTGTAAATAGACTGAGGCAATGAAGTTGCAAGCTGGAGTCCTGGAAAGTCTTTTGTAAAAGATTAAATTTCCATCAGTAAAGAACATTAAACCCCCTCTTGGAGGCAGGAGAAGAGAGGGGGAAGTTGCGGATTGATTATGCCTGTGGGAGAGAGTGAAGAGATTTAAAACACCGCCGCTCTGACCCTGGAAACGGGCTGCTAGTAGGACTGACGTCTTTTGGAATGTTCATTGACAGCGTTTAGAACGTTCATTGACAGCTAGTTAAACAAGAGAAATACATTGTTTCTACTGTCTCCGGCTGCTTTAAAAAGGAGTAAAAGTAACTGAAAATTGAAACTAATTTGAAACTAATTTTGGATTGTTGAAAAGAGGATACTATTGACTATTACAAATAGAAACTGTTTCCACCTAGTGGAAGCCTTTGAAACCAGTTGTTTTACAAGAGCTGGGCTAGGGAAATTCCAGCTGCAAGTTAAAAACCGTGAGACTCTGGGACTGACCTTGAATCTTTTAAGTGTTATGGTAAATGGAAGAGGAAAAACAGACCAGTCAACTGCTGACAAAACATTAAGGTCTGGGAGGACTTGGCAACAATCCAGAAGAGGTCCATCATCAGGCCCCCTGCTCCCTCTGTTGCTGCCTTTGTACCAGCATATTTAAAACCAAGAAGAATGTTGACAGAAGAGGCTTTAGTGGCTGCATTATATAAGATAAATGACTCATTGGATCAGCTTAACAGGAAAATGGACACGATAAATGCGAAAATGGATGTTTCAATTACTAAAATCAACCTAAATACAGAAAGTATAAATAATACCAATACAGAAACCACCCAGAAATTGATACAGGAACCTACTTTGATACGGCAAACTGCGGAGGAAGCCAGGGAAAAAGCTGTTGTTGCTGAATGTAAAGTAACACAACTGGAGAGAAAGAGAAAGAGAGCCCCAGCCCTACAGAGGCAATTTGATGAACATAAGTTGACGCTTGCTATGACTGAACTTAAAGAAAAACAGACGAATTTGAGGATTAGAGTTCACTTTTGGTGGACATGCCCAAGGATTAAGACACTTTGGGAGATGATTTACAACGAAATGAAAAAGGTATTTAAATATACCCTTTTGAAGAAGCCAGAGGCCTTTCTCCTGGGCATGGTCGGCCAATTGGTGTTAAAGAAGGATAGAACTTTTTCCACGTATGCAACAATAGCAGCAAGAATACTCATTGTGAAGTACTGGAAGACACAAGATTTATCTATTCGGGAAGAATGGCAGATGAAGTTGATGGACTATATGGAATTGGCGGAAACGACTGGCAGAAATCCGAGACCAGGGAGAAGAGTCGGTGGAAGAAGACTGGAAAAAGTTTAAGACTATTTATAGAAATACTGTAAAAATAATGAATGTAAGAAAAATGTTGGAATGAAGTTATATGGCTCTAGTAGAAATGCTATAAGGAATTAAGTATAAATAGATTAATAGAGTATTAAAGGGAAAAATAAGGTCAGAATATGTTAAGATAATTATAGGATAGAAACAGAGGAAGATGGAAAGGAATTGCTGAAACAATTAACAGAAGTGGAATACAAAAAGGGAGGTGTGAGGAGGTCATGGAAATAAGGGAATGAAAGATAAGAAATTGTTTTGTGTGTTAAATGGTTTGTGTCTTATTTTGTTATGCTTTTTTGTTTTGTTTTGTCTAATTAGTTGTGTTTAAATGGTTGAAAAATAAATAAATAAATATTATTTAAAGAAAAGAAAAGAAAAGAAATGAGGCTTTATTTCGCCTGGGTCAAAGACCCCATTTGGCATTGAGAGCCTCAATGGAACTCCTCTGGAGGCTTCACCTGGGACAAAAACCCCAGCTAGCACCCCCTTAATGGGTCCAATTGGCTTCCAGAGAGTGGTAGGGGATGTTTTATCCCATGTTGATGACCTTTCAGCTGATTCCCTGGTGACCCGTTGGAATACGGAGTTAACCAGGTCTAATGACTTTTGGCCTCTCTGACTGCATGGAGCCCGGGCAGCCCTGTGGTTTTCCCCGGAGCTTAGGGTGATGAAACAATCGCTGAGACGGCTACAACGCCGGTGGCGGAAAACTCATTCTGAATCAGACCAGACACGGGTTAGAGCTCAACGTCGAACCTACCAAGTGGCGATGGCAATGGCAAAGAGGACCTTCTTCGCCGCCTCTATTGCATCTGCTGAAAACAGCAGCAGGAGACTCTTTCATGTGGTTCGCAATCTATTGGAACCACCTTCGTCATCGAGGCCAGGTAGGGACCCCAAGATCTCCTGCAATGCTTTTGCAAAGTTTTTTGCAGATAAAGTCGCTCAGATTCGGAAGAAGGTAGACTGTACCGTGGGAGCAGGGCTGGGGCTGGAGAGTGCTAGAGTCCTGTCTAGTCATGTTATATGGGATCAATTTCAATCTGTTACCTCTGAGGATGTGGACAGGCTGCTTGGACAAGTGAAACCAACCACCTGTCTTCTTGATCCTTGTCCATCCTGGCTGATAAAAGCAAGCCGGGAAGGGCTGGGCGATGGGCTCTGTGGGGTGGTGAATGCTTCCCTCTGTGAGGGAGCCTTCCCAGACCCGCTGAAAGAGGCGGTCATTAAACTGCTTCTTAAAAAAAAACATCTCTAGACCTGGCCAATATGGCCAACTATCGCCCAGTCTCAAATCTTCAATTTTTGGGCAAGGTGATTGAGCGGGTGGTTGCTGAACAACTCCAGGCACACCTGGAGGATGCGGACCATTTGGATCCCTTCCAATCGGGATTCAGGCCTCATATGGGACTGGAACTGCCTTGGTCGCGCTTGTCAATGATCTCTGGCGGGCTAGGGACAAAGGTGAGAGGTGTTTCCTAGTTCTGCTGGATCTCTCAGCGGCCTTTGATACCATCAACCATAACATCCTTCTGGATCGCCTAGAGGGGCTGGGAGCTGGGGGCACTGTTATGCAGTGGTTCCGCTCCTTTCTCCTGGGCCGTGTCCAGAAAGTGGTGTGGGGGATGAGTGTTCAGACCCCTGGGCTCTCACTTGTGGGGTGCCTCAGGGTTCCGTCCTCTCCCCCATGCTTTTTAATATCTATATGAAGCCGCTGGGAGAGATCATCAGGGGGTTTGGGCTGGGTGTTCATCAGTATGCAGATGACACCCAGCTCTACCTCTCTTTTAAATCAGAACCAGTGAAGGCGGTGAAGGTCCTGTGTGAGTGTCTGGAGGCGGTTGGAGGATGGATGGCGGCTAACAGATTGAGGTTGAATCCTGACAAGACAGAAGTACTATTTTGAGGGGACAGGGGGCGGGTGGGTGTGGGGAACTCCCTGGTCCTGAAGGGGGTAACTTTGCCCCTGAAGGACCAGGCGCGCAGCCTGGGAGTCATTTTGGACTCACAGCTGTCCATGGAGGCACAGGTTAATTCTGGTGGTTCCCTCATTGCGAGAAGTGAGGTTACAGGGAACCAGACAGAGGGCCTGCTCGGTAGTGGCGCCCACCCTGTGGAACTCCCTCCCTTCAGATGTGAAGGAAATAAGCAGCTATCTTATCTTTAAAAGACATCTGAAGGCAGCCCTGTTTAGGGAAGTTTTTAATATTTAATGCTGTATTGTTTTTAACACTTGAT